TTTGTCACCGGCTGATTTGGCAAGGCGTCGTGCCTGGCGCTTGATGTAAGCTTGTTCTGTCTGTCTTTTTGACAAATCAAAGTTTATAAAAATATTCCTCGTATCAGGCTTTGAGCGTAGGATCCTGGAAGAGAATATTAAATCATCTACTGCCGATGGTCCGGACAAGGTAACACATAGCCTTGAGCTGCCAATACGACGTGTTTTAATGACCTGTGGTTTGATCGCCAGATGTTTCTCGCAGAGATCCAGCACAATATCTCTGTCATTGATTCCTGATTGCTCCACAAGACCAGAAATGATCACGTTATTGGCTCGGCGTTCCTCATCTTTACGCTCTCTTTCAACTATCCACAAAGCCTTGGTCATCTGCTCAATCATCGGTGTCTCGTTGAGCTTCAATACCTGTTTCTGACACTCAGAGACGCTGGTGGACAATGTGGACATAGTATTGTGAAGTTGACACATCGAATCAGTGACGGCGTCTGACATACTTCGGACCGCTCGCTCGAAGCTATTACTGAGGGCCTCCATTCGCAGCAGATGTTGATTCAAAAAGTTTGCTCATTAAACCCTCTGAGATAGCCAGTGATTTGCGTAGATTTTCGTTTGACTTTTCAATAACCAACGTCAGGCTGGAGTCAAACTTTTCAAATATCTTTTCAAGACTGCTGTTGGACAGAGTTATGACTTTTTCAAGGTTTTTGTTAGATTTCTTAAGCAGATTGTCGAAGCACTTCATGGTGTGATCATTTGACTTATCTAGTATTTTGGCCACAATACTTTCAAATGACTCGACGGGGATTGCTGTTTGATGTTTAGTTGATGACATGATGATACGTATCAGAATTAGGATTTTTTAAATAAAAATTTTTTAAAAATTTTTAATGGCCAATTATTTAGTTCAGTTTAATAGTCTGTGAAAAAAAAACAAAAAAAAAAAAAAAAAAAACAGAATTTCACGCAGCGCAAAGCAATACAGAAATTCAAAACAAGCAATACAACTTTGGAGACAATGCTATAATACAACTATATCTTTATCGAATAGACACTATTTATAATTAAATTTAGATAAATTGAAATAAATAAAACTAATTTAAACCGCAATTAATTAACCAACAAAAATTATATCACCTAATGCAGCAAAATTTTGTCCATTTGACCAACCAAAATACAATAATATCCAGCAAAGTTTAGAAAAAATACGGACCGAACGTTATTACAAGCAACATTTAAAAATAGAACATTTAAAGCCAATTAGTATTTAATGCATAACAACGTTAACAAATTTGTATAACAATTAAAATAAGTATTTAAAAACATTATAATGTTGTAAAACTAATGAAAGCTGGTTTATTTATTACAATTCTCTCTCCAATATTTTTCGCATGCCTCGACAACAAACACACCAGTGCATGCAAATACACGTGAAACGAGGCATCACACACATTTCATGTGATAAGCGGAGAACGCTGCAATCGAATCCAGTCACTGCAGAGGCAGTGTCAGGCACTTTACCGCTACACTATCGCTCCGCCACAATGGTCACAAAAAGGATAGAAAAAAATAAAAATCTGTTAGGGAATAAATCCTCATCTTAAAACGATAGTAACACCATCTTCATGCTCAATCTTACGTACCATCACATATTGTTAATCATTAGTGAGATTAGCTCGTACAAAAATGAAAAATTAGTTTTGCTCAATAAAAGGTGAATTAGTTTATTCTTAAACAGTGCTACGATTAAAAATTGAAGTTAAAAGTTGTTGATTGTAGCTAACATGCAACTTCGATTTTAATGAAATCAAAAGTAGTATTCGTCTGATTGTTGGAAGGGTTGAATGCAAATGCGATCGAATTAAACGTGTAGTTTCCGCCACTGATAACATCTTCCGGTATGCTCTGTTCGATTGAAAATTATCACATTTTTAATTATTCACTATTGCTACGACATGATCAACATTCAAAATTAATTTTTCATAATAAAATATAACAAAACAGAGATTAATTTAAATAGCTCGTCAAATTTTGTCCAACCTGGTTGTTAATGAGAGGAACAGCCGGATCTTTAAAGTAAGTTAAACCGTTAGTAGTAGAAGATGCAAAGGAACAATAGTCAGCCACATTTTCCATACTCAGGCTAAATCTGATCAACTGTTGCGATTGTGCTGATTTAAACATGAAAAACGTAGTGTAATCATTAGTAACACATTTCGCCGATGCTGGTACAAAAGATGTCCACAGGAAAATGAGGCGTCCATTTATTTCAATTCTTGTAGGATCAGAATATATTTTTTCATATTCCGAAGTAGCATCACGTCGTTCACAAGCTGTGAAGTGTTTTTGAGTTATGTTGAACAATAAACATAAATATGCATGAGACTAATTGATATGTATTGAAAACACACACACGCACACACACGCAAACACACACACGCACACACACACAGGTTTTTTCTCAACGATGTTAAAAATAGCCTATCAAGTTACATTCAACCATGTTGGTTGCTGCAATGCAACAACCAACCAACCAACAAAATCAACCAAGCAAAAAATCAAACAGACAAACGAGCGGATAAACGAACGAACGAACGAATGAACAAACAAACATAGCTTTATTTAAATAACGATATTAATAAAAGTTTTCGGAACCGTTCAAAAGTTTATAACGTTTTTCAGTTAACTTTTGCCCATCGCCAATCACGACATGATAAAATTAAAAACTTATGTATATATAAGAGCGGGAACATAAAACTGCTATGCTTGCCAAAAAACAAAATCTTTTTAAGGTTTATTACAAATTTTACCAATTTTTTCGATAAAATATTTTATTTAATTTATCTACAAAACCATGTTTAGAATTTGAAAAACATTGTAAATGAGCATACCTGTTGTTGCTAGGTTTATGGTTGTGACCGTACTTAAAGCCATAGTAGTGGTTGGAGCCGTTGTAGTAGTGATTGAAGATGTTGTATTAGCTGTGTAGTAGCTG